TATGCGTGTTATTTCAGGAAAACCAACCGACAGGATTTCAAACCTAAGGAAAATGTTATGTCAAGTCTTGGACCTTCTCAATATAACTATAATTTAATTACAGTTTCCAGATATTGGAAGAGGCCCATGAGTCTCTTTGCTAATTATCAATGGTCTTTGCAATTAACAGCAGATGTACCCATGTTAAGTAAATTGGCAAAGGTCAGAGGAACTCCAAGAGAGGTCTTCCTCAGATATAATACAGTTAAAGTCTTGTTAGTTAGTGGTTCATATCCAGCATGCATTAGCTAAGAAACGATAAGGATGTTGGTGTGTGACATCTGGAACTTACATGTTGCTCTGATGTTGGTGCGTCAAAGTTTAGGAGACCTGACAATGTGTGTGCGTTAAACATGATTAGGGAACATGTTCGTGTGTCATTTAGGAAACCTATAAGTGTCCTGTGTTTCTGAATATTCGCGGGAGCATTTCTGCGATTGGTTGCTGTTGAAGCAAGGTAATGTTTCCCCATTGTTGTTTGGTGGTGCGCAACTAAATAATAATGATTAATCTCAACTATTTCTGTGTTTGTGTTTCATTGATTCCTCTCTGTTTCATTCTTTCCTGTTGTGTGAGTGATGGATCTCCACAACAAAATGATCAGCTAACAGGACAGGCCTTAACTTAACATAATGCTACTGCTACTGAGAAAAAGTCGTAATGCCAAACTTCCAGAGAGAAATCTGATTTGCATTAGATATTTTCCAGATAATTGTTTTCATATTATTCCCAAAAATGTGAAGCCTGACACTGCTACGGTAATAATCCTGGGACACAGCAATATCCGACATCTTCCTTAGATTATTTATTTGCCAAGTTTCATTTGCAAATTCATAGACACACACATCGTGAATGATGCATAGCAACACCTGAGGCATGATGGGATTTATTGTAAATGTGTTATTTTGATAAACAAAGGGGAATTGTTTGAGATTCAGTCTATAACAGGAGAGGATCTTTAAATATCCGGCCTTCTAGAGCTAGAGACAGGAGTTTGCAAGTGTGTGTGTGTTTGTCTTCAAATCACAGCCCTCACACATCCATCACTAGATAACGTGTGATTCAATTTGTCCTGCATGTTTCACTTCTGCTCACATTCAGATTTATTTCATGTCTTTTAATTAACTCTGTGGATATGTGTGAGGGGAGATAAAAACTCCACACACAGACACACACCGGCAATCACTCACCGCTCAGACGGTCGGTCGGTCGCCTGGTTGCCGCGGTAACCGCTGCCTTGGTGATTGATTCGTTGCCAGAGTGGCGTCGCCGCGGGGAGCCGGGCCGCGTCGCTCTAATTAAAACGGGATTACAGAGTCACGGCTGCACGGTACACTGATGCACGGCGGAGAGGAAATCGCTCTGTAAATGTCAGGAGTGGTAAATACACACACATCACTGTACACACACTCACACTGCAGATCATCACTAAATACTGTTTACATGTAGAGCTTAATGTACATCTTAAATGAACAACACTTTCTAAATGTGTCTGCTCATCTCATTCTCAGAACTTCACCTTAATCTACCTCAAATCTAAACGGCATGTCCTCTCTTCTCTGCAGTGCTACGAGTGTGGATAGTTTTAGCATTGGATATATCGGCGCTACAAATGTCTGCATTATCTCAAGCTGCGTGACCGTCATATAAGTTTGCAAAGAAAAATGTTCAACGTTGAAACATTGGGATAAATCGGGGGATCAGGTGTGCCCCTAGGCCTTGTTTAAGGCCCTCAGCCATTCCTTTACCCTCATCCAGACTGGACAAACTGCAGCAGCTTCCTGTCTGGTACACTATCCAAACTCTCCAATAAATTCAAGTATATTCAAAACTCTGCCGCCCATCTCCTCACCCTCACCCGCTCTCGGGACTTCATCACCCCTGTGCTGCAAAACCTGCACTCACATCCATTTCAAAATCCTCCTCCTCACTTACAAAGCCCTCCATCACCCGGCCCCCCTACTACCTCACAGACCTGCTCCATCAACACACTCCTTCCCGCTGCTTTCGCTCACCAAACATTTTAAATATCCAGCAGCAGACAGCAGTGTTTATATATGAGATATTTCCAGCTCCTGCCTCCTGCAGAGTGTTTGTTGTGCCAGCGAGCAGCGAGGTCGGAGTAAAGTCATTTATCTGTTGGGGCAGGATATGATCTCCCGCTGCAGCAGAGCCCCCTCTCACAGCCTGATGCTGGTGACCACCCGCATCGCGCTGCAGAAACAGCAGCAATGTGTACAACTGCTGCAGATTAACATCACACACACAGGGAGAGGAGCTTGGGTTATTTACAGGACACATTGTTGCAACGACATGTCCAACAGAGGAAATCAGTACATGTGATTTCTTCAGTAGTAACGGTCCATGTCTGTTCATATTCAAAGGGCTGCTTCTAAGGTTTAGGTATGATCAGAGACAGTATTTCTGAGTAAAAGTTGATAAATAAGCACTTACTTACTTACTTTTGAGCTTTGCGGCTGTAACTCAGTTGAAAATGATAATAATGCACACTGTCAAAATCCTGTTTCCAACTAAAGAGGAATGATCAAATCTGTCCAAACACAAGCAGCTGTAGAAGGACTTTCCTTAACAATATTACAAGTCTGTTTTTGAGACATCAATATTTTGGTCAGTACACTCTCCACATCATACTCCTCAGAATATTTAATGAAACTATAAATCTTTTTCTATTCCTGCAGCTTATATCTGCTGCTGTCTGAGGATGGTTTCTCTCTCAGACTCTGAATCAGCAGCTCCCCTCAGTAAACAAGCCACAGTGATTGTTGGATTTACATATTTCTGAATAAATCACTTTTGCATTTGTGCGATAAGCAGTGCTCTGCTGTTCGCTTCTCTTCCTCCTCCTTTCTTCACCACATTCACGCATGCTTCCATGAATTAACCCCGATCATGCCAAAGAGAGGAGAAACGGCTGCTCACAATTCAAGTTTCAGCAAAAGGAGGGCCCCACTGCCAAATACAGAGCTGCCGAATGTGTTATTTCTTTGTTGGACCCTGAAGGCAGCATCTCCCTGGTTCCCTGCACCACTCTATTCACCCTATCCCTACGGCACTTGCACATTGCCATATTATGTGTTGGTACTTCTGGTTAAAGTGTGATTGCTATTAATTAGCATAGCGTCTCCAGCTTTATAAATCTGCACTTGCCAAAAAACTGTTTTTAAGCATTTAAATGAACTGTTATTTAGTTATGACAGTTTTTCAGGCAATAAAATAACAATTTTGATTACCAATATGTGATTACTTTAACCAAAAGTGTATATTTCAGTGCCCAGTCTGCTTACAAAAACACGTCAACAATGATGTTATAATGACTCTCACTGCCTGAACAGTAGACACAGGTCCACACTGCAAATAACAAATATGTTAGGGGTTAAATATTAAATACGTTTAAATAAGAGAGCCACCAATTTGGCAACAGCTCGCTAGATAGCTAACATTTGCTAGCTTGTTAGACAGGTAGCTAAGGTAAGCTAGCTAACTAAGTAGATAGATAGCAAACGTTAGCTAGCTTGATCTACAGATAAATAGATAGATTGTCACATTGACAGTGACAGACGAGTTGGGTCTCTAGGTTTAATTGTTTTTTATTCTCAAATAAAACGAATTGTTTGCAAGGCTGTTAATGCTATACCGGCCGGGCTACATAAGACGAATAGTGACGCTGCTAAATGTGATCTGAGGTTTGTCCAGGAATCTTCTCTGGTAAATGTAATGTGAAACAGCTGTGCTATTAGGAGGTTTCAACATGTGGGGAATCTTCCTCATGCATGCAAGTGCATGTGTGTAAATGTATGTGAACAGTGTCATGGGTCATATGAGCACTCTTTAATTACATCCTGGCGCTAAAGAAGATGCCTCCATTAACGCTGCATGTAGGCCTCACCACCCCCACCCTCAGAGAGTTGCCCCCCCCACCCGAGAGAGCAGGGCTGGTGTGTTTTGGCTGCAGAGGAAGCACTGGTCGGGGGGGCATGAATATTCCAAATGACTAATGCGGCACACACTTATTTCTGACATATCTGCTTCCACTGGGAAATAAAACACTTCTGATGCAGGGGACCATCTGTTAAAACACACACACACACACACACACACACACACACACACACACACACACACACACACACACACACACACACACCACACACACACACCACACACACACACACACACACACACACACACACACCACACACACACACACACACACACACACACACACACACACACACACACACACACACACACACACACACACACACACACACACACACACACACACACACACACACACACACACACACACACACACACACACACACACACACACACACACACACACACACACACACACACACACACACACACACACACACACACACACACACACACACACTCTGTTGGGAGCATGCTAACAGACAGGCTCTAAACTTCTGTACAAATTAAACACACTCTTTTTAATTCAGTGTGTGTGGTAGATGTAGATGTGGAGCTGCAGGGTGACGGGGAACACACAAAGACACACACAAACACACACTTTACGTGGCCATAAATACCTAGCCTGTCTCCTGTAGCAGCTGGATAATGTGCTCGCTGTGTGTGAAGAGGAATAAACTAGCTGCATCACCTTCAAAACAAACACACACACGTCTACACTCAAAGAGAACCATAGCCACAGGAAAACACACACTCATGCACGGACAATCTGTTTTGATATTCACACACAGCTTCTAGGTATTCACAATATATATATATATTTTATAGAAACTACTGCATGTGCATTTCAAGCAGACAGGTTTACATCGGCACTGTGGAGCACCTGCCTCATGACATGAAGCAGCTTATGCATCAGAAGTGCTTTATGGTGTGTGTGTGTGTGTGTGTGTGTGTGTGTGTGTGTGTGTGTGTGTGTGTGTGTGTGTGTGTGTGTAACTGACCTGTGTCTGCAGCCTTCAGGTGAGGATCCTCAGCATCCACAATGCCTCTGATCTGCAGAGAGAGGAAACACATACACACTGATCACCTGAAGGGGTACAGAGTGTGTGTGTGTGTGTGTGTGTGTGTGTGTGTGTGTGTGTGTGTGTGTGTGTGTGTGTGTGTGTGTGTGTGTGTGTGTGTGTGTGTGTGTGTGTGTGTGAGACAGAGCGATAGTAAGCAGCTCCTAGCAGACTCTCTTGATGTTGGATCAGGAGCTCCTCAGTGACTGTGAGGCTCTCAGGAGCTTTACACACGTTTAATGATGAAGACCGATGAAGAATACATGCTTCAGTTTCAGCCACGGGGGGAAACAGGCAGCACACATACCTTAAGCACACACACCTTCAGCAGTACATGTATGGTTTATGGTACAATACTGATTTAGTGGATATCTAAATATTGACATGTATCTGCAGCTGAGTGTGCTTTGTTCTGTTGTTGACGCTTGTAGGCATTTTCTGTTATAAAATGTAAAATGAGAAAAACGTTCCCAAGAGGGTTCATGAAGCATGAGGAGGATATAGGATTCAAACATTTTTTCATCACAGGAAGTGAGCGGTGTTACCGAAAGTGAAAACACTTCTCTGAGATTCAAAGAAAATAAACCTTAAGAAAATTATCCATCCCCCAACCCCTTGACTGATGCAAGTGTGCTTTACTCTCGGGACTTCCAGGATGTAGTCTTTGGACGAACAGTAACAGTTTTACATGACACAACATTGTTCCTTACAATATTAGATCAGATATGATCGATAGGAAATGGTCGAGACAAGACGATACGATATACAGTACGATACAATACAGTAAGCTATACAATACGATGGGTACAATACGGTACGTCACGACCTGATACAACAAGATTCGATTTGATACAACAGGTGATGACGCGGTTTCATACGGTACGATAAGATACACTGTAGCTACTGTGCAAACGACTGTAAAGCCGTAGAATCTTGAATTAGAGTGGTACTACAGAACGGGACACAGCGAGAGGATTCACCACAAAACCCAGAGAAATAATAAGAATTAAATTCAAATTAAGTTTTCATGAAGGTGATGAGGGAACGCTGCTGGAATGAGAAAAAAACAGCAGGGCTAGCTAACCATCAGCAACTAGCTAACCTGTTGGGCGTACAGTATTTGTTCCCCATCACAGAACAACAACATCTGCAGATCAATGGAAAGCTGAGGAAGTTGTGCCGATATGTCTGATTTTTCTGGAAGAAGAAGAAACCCTCAGCATCCCAACAACAGGCCACAGGAAGTGAACAGGAAGTGCCTCCTCTGTACTGACGGACTGAGAGCGGCAGGAGTAACGGAGGCATTACTCTCTGTGATGTTCCTGAGAAGGAAAGCCTCCAGCGGCAGTTTAGAAAGCAGCACAGGAAACAGCGTCTCTCTTTGAAGGAGCTGTACTCTGATTACTTCCACACACAATGGTGCATCATGGGTATTTGTCCACCGAGAGCCCAGGAAGCGTCTAATTAATTGACAAGCAGATATTTCTGAGTTTAATCATCAAACAGACTGCGTTCTGCTCCCCAGCAGCAGCCCCCTCTCTGCAGAGACGGGTCTTTAAACGCAGCACTAATCAGAATAAATGACGCTCTGCACATCACATCACAGGAGCTGATGTTAACTTATGTAACACTTACAGACCTATATTCATGAAAGCTCCCTCCCTCTGCAGCACATCTTATTTATTCTTAATATTTAATGTGTCACATCTTCACATGATCGATCTGTGTGTGTGTGTGTCCTGCTCCACATTCCTCCTCTCTCACAGAGACGATTAACTGTAGATATATAGAGTGTGAGAGTTTCAGTGATGCTAGCTCAGCTCAAACTGATCATCTTATCAGATGGATTTATGGATATGTAGAGCCTAATATCGCTAACACTGAGGCCTTCTTTTCAAACATCATGCACTTTATCCTGATGTGAAATAACATCCAGGAACAGGAAGTGACATGGCTGGATCATGACTGTTTTCATGACTGCTTTAATGAATTTAAATGCATAGAGAGAAGCCTGTGAAACTCATTCTGATTTTACTTAAATGTGAGTCATTTCACTCTTATGCGGTTGGCCTTTACTTGTTGTTTTAATCAAATATGTTGTTTAAATCAGTGTTTCTCAACTGACGGACCCGTTTCGAGTGGGTCGCAGATGTGTGAGTGAAGAAAAGAAAAGAAAAATAAATAAAAATCTTTTTGGGGAAAAAAGTCAAACTTTTATTTAGAAGGCCCGATTTTCTAACGCTGTGCATGCAGTAGGCGTTGTACTGGAAGTACCGGAGACCATAAGCGGTTTGGCAAACTTCTGACACGTCTGTCATCTTCTCAATAAAAGATCTTTGCTGATGCTTTTTCGAGTCTTCTGGCCAATCAGAATCAAGATTGTTGCCGGAAGTCCCCACGGAGAATAACTTTGCGGTAGAACTATTCTTTATACATCCATCAGATACAAATGAACACATAATGAAATATGACCCCCGGTTTGATGATTGACAGGTCACAGAACAATGGGAGCTATCTACCCTTACCCACAATTTAAAGTAATTCACACAGACTATCTCCTCTTTGCTCTTCTCTCTGTGTGGAGCAGCAAGTTCAGCTGTCAGAACAAAGTGAAAAACAAACAATGGCATCAAATATTATGGTACCACTTTACAATAAGACTACCCTTATAAAGGATTCATAACGGGTTCATAATTAGGTTATTCATTAAGTTCCAAACACTTAATTAATCATTCAAAACCATTTATAAACCAGTTCTAACATAGTTTTCACACATCAACACAGGCTCACTATTTGGCAAGATAACTAAGCCTTATATTGGCTACCTAGCTTACTTCGTCTTCTTCATCAGCCAGCATCCTTGGTATCTGTTGTTCACTGAGTTGATTCTCCCCCATCCATCTTGATGTTTCTTGGCATCTCTTTATGACCATTTATTTATGAGTTACTAACATTTATAACTGCCAAAAGGGAGCCTTATTGTAAAGTGTAAAACACATTCCCATTTTTTTATGGGTTACTACCATTTCCAATTGGTAACAGGGAGCCTTAACCCTGTACGTGTTAAACAAATCACCATTTATTAATGAGTTAGAACCATTTATAATTTCTTTAAGCCATTAAAGGTGGGGTAGGTAGGTTGGAGAAACCGCCTCGAGATCGCTAGAATTTGAGAAAAATTCAGCTACTTCCCATGATGCTTTGTGAAGTATGTCAAAGCAATTAAGGGCAGTTTCTGGGATTAAAATAATCTCTGATTTGACTAAATAAAAGTGATTTTGATCTTTCCTTAACTCATATCTGCATTTTAAATAAAACACACACACACAAAAATCCATGATATCAGGACATGAGAAAGAGGCACATCCAATCCATGTTCATATATTGAAATTGCGAAATTTAAGGGCATTATAAAGACAAAAAAATAATAATATAATTTTTTTTTTAATTAAAGGTGGGTTAGGTAATTTTGGAGAAACCAGCTCGAGTCCGCTAGAATTTGAAAAGACACAACCGGAAAAAATCTGCCACTTCCTTACAGAGCCCCTCCAACACACACGAACGCGCACATGACCAATGAGGGCACGAGATAAGTTTGTGCACAGATGGAAGGCTGACAGGCAGGTAGGCCATCCAGTTATTTTAGCCGGGCCGGCTAAAATGATTGGTCGTGCTTTTTACAGTACTACGGATGACATTTTTTTATGGATTTTTTGTCAAAGCACTTCAGATATTCATTGCTATCGGGATGTTAAGAGCATTCCATGGAATATAACAACAAGTGTATCTCGAGCCGGTTTCTCAAACTTACCTACCCTACCTTAAAGTTATGCATAAATTAGGGCGTGGTCACATTGAGTGACAGGTAATTCCAGTGACTGCTGTTGTTAGCTTCCTGTCTCTCTGCTAGCAGCTCCGTGATGCTACAGGGGCTCTGCCTGCTTAACTCATCCGAGGAACATAACTTGAACTCGGCCGTGTTTGTTGTGCCGGTGCCTTGTGGACTATTCTTCATGCTTATATCGGACTATTGTGACTCGCTTTGTGGTTTTGCGGTAAGTGAAATTCGAGTACTTTATTTATGTGTTGCTTATGTTTTTAGTCAGCTAACGTTAATGAATGTTAAGGCTTGGGTTAGCATGTAAGCAAGTGGTAGCTACATCTGTGCTAACGATGCTAATCGTAGCCTCCAAGTTAAAACGTAATAGAGAAGTGTTAAGCATTAAGTGGCCTTTTTATGTTATACAGTTCAGCTTTGATTCCATCATCTAATTAAACCTTTTTTAAAGCATTCTTTAGTTCTGTGAAGGGATAGCCTATAAGGGATATATGCACTGTACTTCACTTTAATTAATATTGTATACTGAAAAGCGTGTATATATTACAATTTTTTGTTGAATAGATTTGAGTGGTTCAAAATTTCGGGTCGCGATTTATTGACAAAGGAAAAAAGTGGGTCCCGAGGCCTAACCAGTTGAGAACCACTGGTTTAAATCCTCCAATAAAGGGGCTGTAGTCTGCTCATGTTCAAGTTGACATTAGTATTGTGTGCCTCTCCTGTGACATGTTTCCCTGCTTTAATGTTTAAAAAGGTCTTTATTTTTCTCATACTGCCTGTGCTGAAGCACCTCTTTTCACATATTTTCGCCCAGTCTGCTCTGATTGGTTAGTTCATCATCAATCTGTTGCGATTGGTCAACCGCTTAGAGATGTCCCTCCTCCTAGCCTATCATGTACAATGTGTTGGAGAGCTAACCAATAGAAGCATAAGCGTGATGTCACTATAGAAAGTAAACAAAGGGGTCCAATAACAATTATCATCTACCTGGAATCATGCTAAAATAATATAAATATTTCCAAAAAAGTGACAGTTATCTCTAAAAGTGGGCATCTATATTCAGACTGCAAACAATAATACATAAATAAATAAAGTGATTTTATTTAAAGTGTTTGTTTTGCATCCTTGCTTTATATTTCAGGGATGCAGCAGCAGTAAGATAAGCGGGACGGTGAAATCTAATCTGTGTCTGTCTATGCGAATGTTATCCCACAGCGGTTTATATGAGCTGATGAAGGAACTCCATAACTCTGCTCCTCTTCCTCTTTATCTGGACAGAGGAAATGAGAGGATGCTATCTGCCGCTCGCCTCGGCTAAGCAGACGGACATTTTCTCCAGGCTTCAGATGAAAACAGGAGCTTTATGAACCTCAGGAATATTTGTATCTGACTCTGAATTAAAACACTCTAGAGAGAGGTGTTAGGAGCTGATCTGTGTGTCAGAATACATCTGATCACAGGGAGGATCGAGGACTCTGCACTACATCTCAGTTCTTTTCTTCCCTATTTATCAAAAAGGATTTTTCTCGTCTTACATTGTTTCTCTCGTCTTACATTGTTCCTACAGTGATGAAACATCGGAGGCGTTGAGAGGGAAGGTGTCAATGTACTGCAGGTAATAAAGTAAGGATTAAAGGTCCCCTATTATACTCTTTTTCATCAATATATTATAGGTCTCAGATATATACAAAACATGTCTCTGAAGTGATTGGCTGGAAATACCAAACAGATGTAGCATCCCATAATCCCCTCTGTTTCAGCCCTGTTTCAAAAGTGCTGATTCTCTGTCTGTTACTTTAGATGAAAATAAGGAGCCACTCCCCACGCCCCTCTGAGAGATATTTGGTTAAAAAGAACACAGTGTGCTCTAGGAGGACATTCAGGTGATAAAGTGTGGGGGGGGGGGGGGGTGTTACCTTGGTTGGTGATTGGCTAATGGTTACACAAGCCAAAAAACAAGTTGCCAAAATCTGATCAGCTCATTTTCAGACAGGTTTTTATATAAATGGATCAGGACAAAAAGTGAGCGAATCTTTTTTCCTGAAACTTTCAGAATCTCTTTACACAGAGGGGACACATGTTGATGTAGAAAAAAAGATTTCGCATAATAGGTGTCCTTTAGTCGGACATATCAAAAAGCTTTTAGGTCAATGAACAGAAGAGCTGCAATCATCACTAACATAGGAAACTTTGGGCAACACCAACTGAGAGCTGTCCTGAAAACTGAACCACATCTATAGTGATGCTGCTGCACTGAGGGAACGTATACAAAAAATAGGTGCCTTCACCATGATCCTGCACCAAGACATGAGAGGGATCGAACCAACAAAGAACCAACCAACTAACAAACCAACCAATCTTTTAACAGATCATTCAAACCTGGAAAGACTCTCTGCAGTCCAATACAAATCGGATTCCCTCAACTGGAGAGAGAACAGTGTGTGGTGTGTGTTTGAACAAAAAGGGAATGGAGCTCACCTTCACCCTGTTCTCTGTATTTAGGACGTCCCACAGAGAGTGCTGGAACATGGGCAGGTCCATCTGACGGCCCCCTCCCATCAGAGCCTGGGGGAAGAGGAGGAGGTTTAATGAATATATGATAAACCAACAAGATACAGCATGCAACACAGAAGAAGTACTTAACAATATTCCAAATATAATGCATATAACACTGAAAGTTAGATACATGATTTTGGTTATACATTTGAGTGTCGAGGAGTTTAATGCATGATGCGGATGAAAGATGAATACATCCTGTCTTTCTTATATTTCCATAAAACATCCGGAGCTGTAGCCTCAGGCCTGACGACACCACTGCTTTCATCTTGTTTTAAAAACTGGAAAGCTCTATTAAATGTATGGGTTTTAAAAAAATGTAAGTTTCATTTCAAAGTCATCTGAATACAGAAAATATGTTTGACTCATCTCTTGTTTTCTGTAATGCTGCAATTTGCATGAAGTGGGTGTTTCTTCTCAGCCTGACACACACTAATCTTCTTCTTCGCATGCATTTACTGCGGGTACAGTCTCACAAAAACTGCCATACACAACTGATAATAAATTCATCTAAAAAAACTCCTGCAGAAAGAGGAGGGAACCTGCCAGGTGTGAGGGAGAGAAGTGTAGCGGGTGGAGGCGCCAGTCAGTGTGGTGCTGCTGCTCTGTGGAGGGAAGGGGGTGCAGCTCGGTGTGTATTCATGTGAAACGGAGTCCGCTGGAAGCCGTTTAGTCGGCGCTGTATCTCAGCAGGCTGACCTTTAACTCTATGCACAATGAAGCTAAGCTAACATACACACGCTGCTAAGCTAACAGACACTGCAGGGGGAGAATCAGATCCTCTGAGCTGACCCAGCACTTCACTGCCACAAGATACAACACTCAGACTATCTTTTATTACTGGTACACGCTCCAACTTTAACAAACTGTATATAAATGTCGTCTTGTAGGTAAATATAGCATCCATCACTTCAGAGCAGCAGTTATTCTGGAGGATGATGTATAGAAAGAGTAATTCCTCTCAGAGTGCAGAAATTGCCTCGCAGAGAGAGTAAATATTAAATAACACATCTACATTCTGTGTTATCTCATTTAATTTCCCCAGCAGCCTCACACACACAATAACCAATACCGGTGACATATTTCCTGTACAGTTAGTAACATTAACAACAACCTACTAGCAACTGATGCTGACCACAAACCCTGAAGACTAATAAATGTTCCTAACTGAACGATGAATTCAGACCTAACAAAACAGTTTAAAAGCATTTCAGAGTAGAGTCACTTCATTTATCCTGAGTGCTGTTTGTGTACTTTGGAACCACTGCTAGATTTCTAAGAACTAAAAGTCACGGTGGCCCCAGCGGTCCATAAAATAGAGTCAGAGTGAAAAATGGGATGATGTAGGGTTGTGTGTGTGCTGTGACTAAATAAAGAGATTGTATTGGTGATTTTCTTGCAAGGAAACACTTGAAGTCGTACGCTCCCATCTCCACTCTTTTTCTTGAGACAACAGTATGTGACATCAGAAACAACCCTTAACCCTTCAGATCTCCAGTATATATATCTAACCCCTTCCCCATCATCAGCTCGGTCTGCTTCAATTATGTTTAGAGCTGCTAATGAACACGGTTCTTATTTAAGATAAAGCAGAGACAGATCGATATTCAGCGGTGCGTCAGTCTATATTCTCCTCAGACCTCAGCACAGGAACATTTCAGAAAGGCCACCGGGGGGGGGGGGGGGGGCTTATCACGCAGCTAAATGTCAATGTAATTATGAGCGTCTGTAGATAGTGAGGGGAGCACATCCTGCAGCACAACACATATTCCATTAATAAATGTCACTCTGCAGAGCGCCCAGAGGACGACAACAACACCGATACTACTGCACTAACAGAGAGATGTTATACAGGACAAAATAATAACTATATATATAATTATATCTAACAAACGCTATTAATATTTAGCGCACACAGCACATTGAATCATTACAAAGCACAGGAAGTGATCAGGACTCACAGCCAGTGTAATTTATATATGGGCTGTGTGAAAGGGAAAACAAAGCTATATGAACGCTCTGCTAATGGGGAGTAGCATTAGCATGGCTAATTGTTATGTTACTAGATGTGCACTCCTCACTGCAGGAGGAGTCTGCTGATAAACAAGCTGTGTTTCTGTATGAGAACAATAAAAAGACTCAATAAAATGTAAGAAAATATGCATATATAACATCTTCCTGTAGCATAATGACTGATCTATCCAAGTACCAAGTATTATCCAAACTCCTCGTCCAATCAAAACACAACTGCATCTGATCCCTCACAATCCAAGCCAATCACCACAGGCGTTTCTACACTTAATGCAACAGCTGTGGAATTAAATGAATGTTGTATTGGTAAAACAACAGTCATTAAACCTCTGTGGTGCAGGCTAACTCCTGGAGCAGAGTTTAGTAAAACAGAGGGGCTGCTGGTCTGACTCAGCTGGGGGGGGGGATGCTACTCTCTCTTCCCTTGAACCCCCTCATCACATCTCTTTCCGGGAGTGCTCCTTGAGTGTGGCCCCACCTGGGCCCCTGGACTTGCTCTGTCTCTGAATGTAACCATCCCTCTATCTTTTGAGGACAGTAGGGAGGGTCCTTATGAGGAGACTATAGAAGGTGTGCTTCTGGGGACACTAAGCTTTGCAAAGTTTGGAAATGGCACCAGGCTTTCCTGCTTTTTTTAAAAATTTGAAATATCTGCTGTAGTAACCGGCCAATCACAAGCTTTCATCACCCACAGGTCAGCACAGATTGATAGGAGGAAGCAAGGAAACATCCAGGGATTGTCATTCTTCCACAGAGGCACTGATATTTCAGAGTCAGATTTGGAAACCGTCTCTCCCCTCTGAATCTGGTGCTAGACAGGAAGCAGGAAGCCATCTGTGAGTCTCATCCTCTCCTCCTCTCTCAGGATGAGTCGGAGCCAGCGAATGTCGGTGGGATAAAGAAGAGTTGACGGACAGGAGGTGCTTTCTGTTTCCTGTTTCATCCAGACCGATCGGTGGCACCGTCACTGGCCGAGATTATGATGATAGGGGGGGGGGGGTTCTCAGGCCTCTGAGAGCTTTAATATTGCAGGCCACCATCACCATGGAAACACATAGCGTGGCAGCAGAGGACACAGGGTTCTGCACAACATGTCGGGTCAGAGGAGAGCACTGTAGCTGAAATACACCTGAACTCTGACATGCGTCTGCAGACAGAGGCCGTGCAGCATGTGATGCTTCAGAGATACAAGTTAATAATCACATTATAATCATATCATGTGGAATGTCAAATTTAAAAAACTTGCATCTTGATTTAAGTAACTCAATCTTTGCAAGTGCCTCCTGTGGTACAGAGTTTCGCTTCTTTATAAAACACACCGGTTGATCCCACCAGTAACCACTGATGTCTCCAAATGAAGCAGCCTGAATCTACAGGATTACAACTGTAATACCGCAACTTTAACTTTAACTAGCACCCACACCAACTCAAGAAACGCATGTTCATGAAATAAGCCGATTATTCACTTTCTGTCATAATAATAATCCCTTCAAATGTTCCAGAAACACCCGGGTGTGTGTAGAGGCTGTCCTGCTGCAGCGGCAGATCTATGATCGTTCTCAGAGGAGGTTACTCTCTCTGCACAGTGTTCCTGTTCTTAAAGCTGCTTTAGAACATCAACAGTATTTGTGCAGTGGTTACAGCTGATAAGAACACACACACAGCCTGGAGCTGCTTTAAGGCTGATTGTCAGAGCAGCTTGTCGAACAGCAGCGCTGCAGTCAGAGCTACAAACATCTCTATTTTATACTTTATACTACAGACTGCTCTTCAGATCAGACCTCTGTCAGCTGTGGATGCAGCAGATCAGATGAAGCCTCTTCACTTCTCCTCCTCTGACCTCCCACTGCCTCCATTACAGCTCATCCAATCACAGCTACAGGGTAGAGAGGAGAGCGGAGGGGAGAGGAGAGGAGGAGGGTCAGGTGTGCAGCCTAAAATAAATGAAGTCTCTCAAATCATTGGTTGTGCCTCTCCTATCAAAGAACCATGACACAGTGAAGTGTATCTCATAAGAGTCTATGTCATCTCTCCAAACATATACCTCCACCTCTCCTCCACCTCCTGCCGCCAGCAAAAGGAGGAGAGGAAGGGGATGCATGCTATTGGAGAGAGGTGCAGCCACCACTATGATGTTGTTGGAATACAGAAGAGATATTGTTCCATCTTAACGAGATGTTACAATGTGCGCTGAGCATGCAACACGATGGCCTACATCCACACAGTATTAGCTTTACTGAGAATCAGCTGAGCTCCGCACATAGCAAACTCCTGGGTTACTCTCAGTGACGTCAGAGAATGCACTGCTCCAAATATTCACAGCGGACCCTAACTCTGCTTAGAACACACACAGTGTTCGAGAAGCACTGCTAGACAGGGAGAGGATACTCTAACAGGCAGAGGAGAAGTATCCACTCCCGCAGGAGGGATCTGTCGGCCCAGCCCTGGGAAACAGAGAGTAATGACCTGTGAATGTGACTTTGTGTTTCCCATCAGCTCTGTTAGAGGCCTGCTGCCCCCTGCTGGAGGCTGCACACTCCACCATCATGTTCCCTTTATTTCTTTATAGTTGCAGGTGAAATCTCAGGGGTATGCTTATGTGCAGCGTTGCAGAATAAGCATTTAACGCATGCACACTGATTCAATATAACTATAACTAACTAGATTTGTGTTCCAGCACTACTGAATGTCAATCTGCTTAAAGAGCACAACGTGGAACATGCAAATTGGGAGAGATTCACATCAGGTTCTGTGGCTGCAGAACAGCTGCTGTATCACCGTTGGAATGAGGCGGCTTTATTAACCACTAAGTAATACATCAAACTCTGGAATAGGCCCTAGTTGCACACCACACACACAGTTTACAGCAGGGAACAAAACTGCAGTGTGTAGAGGTACAGCAGTCTGAATAAAAGCAGAAACATCCAACATCCTTAAGAGCCGTTGTCTTTGGTCCTCTAACATATCGTCTCCATTTCCTGTTTCCAACTAATGGCTTCTCTTCTGAAGCTACGTGGAATACACAATAACTGCAATATTTCTTTATGCAACTGTTGTTTTTTGTATCCATACTTTTAAATTAAAAAGTAGTGACATTTCCCCAACTGTGCTCTCTTCTTATTACCACCAGAGGTTTTATTTATCCTGCATTAAAAACATATTCCATACTCAGTGAGATCAGGGAACCTCCAGCACATAGCCACAGCCCACTGCGTCTCACACCAGAGATGCAAAGAGAGGAAGGATCTCTGCAGATTTAGTGTGAGTATTACAATGATGTGCTTCCTGCAGGAGTATCCCATACTGACAGAACACACGATAACCCTGAAAGAGCACTTCCTCCTTTTATCATCAAATCCTCTCTGTTCCTGAATGATCTGCACCGCCGAAGAGGAAACCACCTTCAGTGCGGAGGCAGAAGCTTCTGAAGAGGACGGAAACAGAAAGGGGGGACTAATACAAAGGTGTGAAAATGACACAAAGGGACGATGCATGCAAAATACATCCCTGAGTGTGTAATCAGAGTCTGCAGACATTATAAACTGATGAGAACTCTGTTCCTTCCTGTGTGCACAAAATGCCCTCAGTCCTGATGATGTAACTCCCTGTTCCTTCTTCCTGGGACTTCCTGTCTAATTTCCCCGCTTGATGGCAAATATGGTCACTGCCCAATCCGTACCAGAAACCCGCTTTGTTCTTCGCATGTTCGAAAAATTCAGCTACTTCCCATGATGCTTTGTGAAGTATGTCAAAGCAATTAAGGGCAGTTTCTGGGATTAAAATAATCTCTGGTTTGACTAAATAGAAGTGATTTTGATTCATCTTTCCTTAACTCATATCTGCATTTTAAATAAAACACACACACAAAAATCCATGATATCAGGACATGAGAAAGAGGCACATCCAATCCATGTTCATATATTGAAATTGCGAAATTTAAGGGCATTATAAAGACAAAAAAATAATAATATAATTTTTTTTTTTAATTAAAGGTGGGTTAGGTAATTTTGGAGAAACCAGCTCGAGTCCGCTAGAATTTGAAAAGACACAACCGGAGAAAATCTGCCACTTCCTTACAGAGCCCCTCCAACACACACATGACCAATGAGGGCACGAGATAAGTTTGTGCACAGATGGAAGGCTGACAGGCAGGTAGGCCATCCAGTTATTTTAGCTGGGCCGGCTAAAATGATTGGTCGTGCTTTTTACAGTATTACGGCTTCCACAGATGACATTTTTTTATGGATTTTTTGTCAAAGCACTTAAGATATTAATTGCTATCGGGATGTTAAGAGCATTCCATGGAATATAACAAAAAGCGTATCTCGAGCCGGTTTCTCAAACTTACCTACCCCACCTTTAAGGTCGACATCATGGTCGACATACAGTATATTCGTACATTTTAGTTGTTTTTTTTATCTTGCAAAATGTAACTGATTTTTTATAAAGTACCAATGGTATTAAAGAATACAATAAGTACGGAAGACAGTACATCAGTACATCATTAAATTATCTTTTTTTGGTTGTTCTCCATTTGAAGGTCAGATTTTATATTTGTATGTGTTGCAACAGGAGTATTTTGGTCATTATAAGTCAGCCTTAAGGCCAGGCTCATCGCTGTGACTCGCTCCTTAATAAACATCCGTACTAAAGTTCGAGTTTAACGATGTTTGATTAACAAAATAAACCAAAGCAGGAACACACGGTCAACAGAGAAACACTAGCTCAGCCTCTCATAATAACCCCGGCAAACAGAATAAAGGTTTATTTGATTTACTTCATTGGATAAAAACCTTGCTCAGGAGGTCAGACAGGACCTTCACTAACGCCCAGCAGAGCAGTGTAAAGTGAAAGACTCACCACAGCCTCTTCCTCAGAGAGGAGCAGCTCCTCTTCCTGCACCAGGACCAGCTTCTCCTGCAGCTCCTCCACTGACAGACTGACACACGACAGCACAGTTAGCTCATGGAGAGGAACGTGCCATTACCCCAGCAGTAATGACTTGAGTGTAATTAAAGCATGTGAAAACATATGATGAGCTGAATAAAATGTTGATAGCATATTATCATCCTCACAGTTTAAGCACATTAAAGGCTCACAACATACTGTATTTCAAAGGGAACTGATGTGTGAACGAAAGGAAAACCTTTTTTTAAACTTGTTGGGGTTTTCCCTTTACTGTTTGTGTGCATGTAAATGGTCTGTAAAACATTATATGTGATAGGTTTAAGGGCGGGACATCTCTAAGCGGTTGACCAATCACAACAGAGCCGGCCAGCTAACCAATCAGAGCAGACTGGGCTCTGGTTTCAGACAGAGGGTGAAAAAAGGTTCTGCAGCACAGGCAGTATGAGAAAAATAAACAACTTTATACAAAATACAAATATGAACCTGAACATGAGCATAATGTCCAATTAAGTTAAAAAGACAGTATTTCTACCAGAGGATCCTGATTGATAGTTAATGTAGTTCTTCGAGTTGTTTTAATGGCAAATATGCAGATTTAATTGAATAAGCAGCAGGTAATTCCATAAAACCTCCTTCAGGTTGTTATAGACAACACAGTGTATTACCATAAAGGTACATTCATATAAAGAATGATTTCTCAGTGGGAGAGATATGGGAAATATTATCTTATCACATGAGGGAAACCATCACGCTTAAGCAGGAAGGTGGACCCAAGAGCAGTAAAACATTTGAAATCAAGCAGTCTTAACAAAAAGCGAGCTTTAATACAAAAAATCTGGCAACAAAGAAAAACTAAACATCCACAAACCGGGGAACAAGAGGATGGATCACGGGGAAAGCAGCCAGGAACAAACATGGAACACAAGGGTCACACGGAGACGAAACGGAGACGAAAACGGAAACGAACCGAAGTCGTTTTCAAATAAGTCTTCCGTCCGTTTGCACTAAAATCTGTATCATGGTCAGTAGCGTCTGGAGCACGAACGCAACCCTGTGATCCGCCATTGTTGTTGTTGTTGTTGGCGAAACGCATCAGCAATGACGCGGGGGTGAGCAGGAGAGGTGGGGAGAGGCGGGGCTATGGCGTCATCGTTTTCAGGAAATGATCGTATAGGGCGTACACACGGAGCCGCAAGCGTTTCGTCCCCAGACCTACCCACTTTGGTACACCGTTATCAAAGTGTATCGGATTCGGGCTCCGTATCCGCGGCTCCGTTTCGTCTCCGTGTGGACGAACCGTCTATACGATAGAGAACGTTAGCGGATACAACTGATATCGTCTCCGTGTGGACGGGGGCCTAAACACACACAAGGGTAATCAGGGTAAGACAAGACACAACTGGAGGGGGGGGGACAGGGGACAGGACACAGGGGCAGCAGGTGAACACAGTTCAGGCAACGGAGGGAAAACACAGGAAGTAAAACAAGACAAGACACAATGAGAAAATACATTTCAAAATAAAACAGGAAACTAAACACAAACCTAAAATCATGACAGAAACAAACCCCCTGGAGTCATGTTCACTCAGTGTGATGCTCCTGAACAGGAACCTCAAGAAGATTTATTACACTGAGCAATTAAAATAATCATTCATATGATTCTCATGACTGAGACTGAGCAAAGCCATTGTTTCAGTGTCAGAGAGTGTGTTTAAATAAAGCTTTTTATGTTCATCACCGGTTTCCTCCATGATGAAGAATCACCCTCGTGTTAGCATGCAGGCTGCAGGAGCTGCAGACTTTGCATTAGAATGCACATTGCCGACGATATCTCCTGGATCTGTCTCTAATGACTCTCAGCTAAACACCCCCCCTCTTCATCCACTCCATTGAAATGCTAATTATCATTAACGCAGATTCACATAATTGTTCTCTCTTATTCTGGGCACTCATCTCATTTTGTGTCTGTTTAGCCAATGATAACTGCTTCACGACATCAAGTTCTTAATCTACAAAAAGGAAGCTAAGATCAATATCAGAATATAATTTTAAAACAAATGAAAGTATTATTATATTTTACAACCTGTAAGTGTGTGTTATCAGGAGAACGCCAGTCAGTCTGTACCAAGGCCGTTAACACACACTCTCTCACAGACACACACAGGTTGCAATATGCTATATATAGAGCCTACCAACTGCTGAGGATATTAAGCGTGATGATTCCTCAAGACCGTACGTGTGTGCGTGTGTGTGTGTGTGCGCGTGTGTGTGTATCCTAATGGAAATGCTGTCTGAGGCACTGTAGGTGTGCATTGCACAGCACCTGCTTTCTGCTCCAGGTGTACTGCTCTCTGATTTCTCTGCAGCCTATGCCACCCATACACACTACACACAAAATGATTAACACACTTAGATCGTCTGTGTAAAGAGGATATATCCAGCTCATGTTCAGGTTCATATTAATATTTAGAGTGACAGGTGTCCATGCTTGAATGTTCAAAAGGCCCTTTATTTGTCTCATACTGCCTGTGCTGCAGCACCTCTTTTCACCCTCTGTCTGAAACCAGAGCCCAGTCGGCTCTGATTGGTGAGCTGGCCAGATCTGTTGTGATTGGTCAACCACTAAAAGATGTCCTGCCCTTTAGCCTATCACGTACAATGTGTTGGAGTGCTAGCCAATAGTCAATGAGTGTTCCATAGTGACTCTGTCAGTCCAATGAAGGAGTTTAAGGTATGGAAGTGTGTTGGTAAATTTGTGAATGCTGTGCATCTAAAACACTGAAAGTCTCTGTGTTTATTAACAGTTTAACACGTGCATATCTTTACCTGCCATCCTTGTTGCTGTCCAGCAGTCGGAAGGTGCTCTCTGAACTGTTCTGACCTCTGACCCCTGCAACAGGAAACACATCGGAGTTAATGTTAGCAGCAGTAATATCTCCTGCACAAAGCTCTATCTCTCTTGAATGCTCACTGAGAGGAGGGGATGGAGAACAGGACAGGGCTGCAGATGGATTTAGGAAGTAACTGAGGGCGGGGGGTGTAATCAGCAGTGAGTGGGCCGTGCAGGAGTAAAATCCCGTCAGAGTCCAGAATGCAATCAGGAGGCTTTGTGCTGCAGTTGGCCGCTCACACAGTGATTTCCCTCTTCCCCCACCCTCCTCTAAAGAGCATGTGACCCGGATGATTGACTCTGTGAATGGAGACGAAGTTCTCTTGTGTGTGCCCCCCTCCCTCACTATATGAAGGGGCAAACTGATTGGCCTTGCAGTCTGGGGAAAAGCACTCGACATAATGATAATTGCACATCCGCCGCAATTAGCTCTCGGTGCTAATTACAGAAAAGCTAATTGTGGAATTAGCATTTTTCCTTCCCGTGGTACAGCACTGCGCATGTGCTGAGTGTGTGCAGCCGTGAATCCATATTTATAAAGCTGTGCTGGTTTTTATTGACTTTAGGAAGATGCACATGTCTGCACACACGGGCGGCTCAGCTGTGTTTGCATCTATTCCCTAGCGCTCCTCATTCCCCGGGAAACATGTCCCATCTCCCTCCTCTTCTTCAGAGCTGCCTGGAGTGGGGGTGTGTAGGATAAGTGAGGAGACAGAAAGGAGGCCATGTTTTCTAATGGACTCCATCACTCATGCTGCAGCATACAGTAACACAAAGAGGGGAGAGAAGGGAAGAGCCCCTGTGTTACTGCGAAGCGAACAGGAAACACTTTAGAGACAAGGAGTTACATGGAGACAGGAAGTGATCTCTCTCTGCAGGTGTAGCTCAGATACTTCACAGACAAGTGTATTAACCTCAGCTTAAGCGATACAATTTGTGCTGACTTCACGTATCTGGTGTTCTAGTTTTACAGATCAGAAGCAGAATGGTCTTTAAATTGCAGCATGGACCGTTTAACGATAGAATAACGGGATGCAGCGCCCCGGGTGGCCAAGACCTAACCTCAATATGCCCTGTGCATCTCTCCTGCTTTTTAAAACGAGCTTACAACATATTAAGATCATTAAAAAGGGAAAAAACGATGGTAGAATAGATGTTATGCAAGTTAATGCTATTGCTAACAATGTTAATAATGAGGATATGACAAATCATGACATTAATCATGGGTTGGAAAACAAACCAAATGTGGAAGTAATTTTGAGGAAGTTTGCCCATATACAGTACAGTATGTCATAAATGTGAAATGATTTGATTTGATCACCCATCATAGATTATGGAAGCTATTTAGATAGAAGAGATCTTCAGTAATGGTCCTCTATTCAACCCAGTCGCTCCCGAGGAGAGATAATGAGGAGAAGCAGGAGAACCAGGTCACCTGATTTCAGAGGAACGTCAGGAAATCAGACCGAGACAGACAAACAGCAGCTCTGCTTTGAACGTACAGAGAGGGACAAATATAAAATAATACCATCATGTCGGATAAACATCATGAGGAGGCACAGACCTCCAACTGAACCCAACGCTGACTGAGGGGGGGCTTAAAGAAGGTTAAAAAAAAAAAACAGCAGGCACATGATCAGAGTCTGTGTTACTCAGGCTATGCTCAAGAATGTGCTCTAAATAATCTGACATACACTGTTATAATTATCACACTTCAGTATGAGCAGCAGAGTATCATCCCTGAGTCACTGTAGAACTTCTTCCAGATGAGGAACATTTTAGAAGAAAAAAAAAAAAAAAAACACAGAATGTAAATAGCACATAAAGCCCTGCAGACCGTGAGAGCCTCAGCAGACTGTATACATAATATAATATAATATGTACTGTAACATGGTACATTGCACAGCTGTGGGACAAGTAAACGACTTCTGATTCAGATTTGTTATTATCTGGATTTAGAAAAAATGAAAGAAATATTATTCTGAATTAAAGTGTTAAAGTGAGAAAGGAGAGGAAAGAGGACTCTTTTCTGTCTGCATGTGTTTCAGAGTTTAACCTCCAGGTGACGGAGCTTTAATGGCTGGGGGGGGGGGGGGACACACACACACACTTACTGGTGTCTCCTGCCTCCAGAGCCTTCAGGGTCTGCTCCGCCTCCTGCTTCCTCCTCCTGTGCTCCTCCAGTTTGATCTGCAGGTCTTCTGCCACCTGCTGCAGCTCCCTCAGCTGCGCCTGCACACACACACACACACACACACACACATAAAATAAAGCATGATCCTGAACTGAGACTGATGTTTAATACTGTCTGTGGTGGAGTCTGATGCTACAGAGATGAAGACATTAAACTGGTTGTGTATTCAGAAGCAATGCATAGCTGTCAATTTTGTATCTATTAGAATACACAGCAAAATGATATTAAAGCATGTGCAATACAATTTGGTTGAAATGTAGCCTCTGAACACATCACCTTAAATGTGTGCAGAGATTATCTTAGCTACTTTAGACTCAAAGAAGGAAGTATTCCTACAACCATTTTCCGTATTAAAACAGTCTAATACAATCATAAAACTTTCAAAAATCATTAAGAGCTCTAAGGATTTTATGAAACAGCCAATTAAAAGTGTTTTCTAAATGATTGTATTATTCAAGCTGCATGTTCAGGGTGTTCTGAGCAGAGGAAATGCAAGGCAGAGCAATAAATGAAACGGGTCGTTCTGTTCCCCGCAGCAGCCTCAGTGTACCTGTTTCTCCCTCCACAGCAGGACCCCCTCCTCGATGAGCTGCTGCTTCAGCTGCAGACCCTCGTCCAGCGTCCTCATCTGGCCCTCCACGTACGCCCGCTCCCTCTGACCCAGATTCCTGCAGGAGTAAAGTAAACACATCATCACTCTCCATCACTCCAGCATTTATTCAAACATGTATGGAGTGTGTCCAACATAATAAAGATATTCTGAGATGTATTCATTCTACTCATTTATTGAAAGGTGAAATGATGTCTGTCTTCAGGTGGATATTGTGATGCATTACATTACACAAATATGGGGACATTACGCCCTCTGGTGGCGATGAATCATCATTACAAAAGAGATAAGATGTTTTTATCAATGATTACAATACATTACAAGTGATTTAAAATAACGGTATGCATAAACTTAATGGTAGATTTCCACTCAAATAAACGAAATATTTGTTTTAAATAATTGTGCATGTGCTGTGTGGAGGTGGAGGTTGTGATGACTGACCAGCAGGAGTTCTGGCAGCGAGCGTGGCTATTGTATTCATCTGAAGCATCGCAGCAGTCTGCACACACACAGAGGACATTTCATATCATTTATTATTAACACATTATTATCTGCAGTGATTGCTGTCATGTAGGGCTGCATCAAGAAGTCAATCAACAGAAAAATTATTGAGGACTATTTTAATAATCATGCAACAACGTCAGAAAAGTCTGTTTATAGTCTCTCTAATCTGGAGATGTGCTGCTTAACTCTGATTTATATCAAAGTGAAAAGCTTTTGGACATTTAAACACATCACCTTTGACACTGAAACACTGGGATGCACATCTTCACCATATTCTGACATTGTATAGAACACATACTAAGTAGATTAATCCAGACAATAATCAGCAGATTAATGGATGGTGAAAGTAAACGTTGGTTCCAGGAGAATAAAGGAGGGAGGAAAAGGAGACCATTTTGAATGGCTGCTATTTGTTTCCTCCACAGGTTGCATGAAGTCTGCTGAAGGTGCTGCAGACAGACAGAGTGGCGGTGTGGACGCTGGAAGTGATTTTAAAGAAGTGTGGAACAGAAGAGAGGGGATTAGAGAGCTGCAGGATGGAGGACATCAACCCTTTCCAACAGCTGTTCTGCATGAATGAGATTCATTTGTGCAAGTATTCATCTGCTGTGTTCCTTGCAACCCTGCAGCAGGAAGACCTACCCTTAAACCTGAGCGAAGATTTTTGTCATATCATCGTATAATAGAAGCCTCACCGCAGATGCCATCGTTGACTCGTGATGATGGGATGTAGTGTGGGCGGAAACCCAGGTTGGTGCAGTAGAAGCGCCCCCGCGGACAGGCAGAGGTTCCTGCAGGGAGCAGAGGACCACTGCATCACTAACACCATCAGAACAGAATGCATATGAGTGGCTGCTGCATTGACAGTGCGAAAGAGTACAACTGTGTGTGTGTGTTTGTGTGTGTGTGGTGACCTGGCTCGTCGGAGCCGTCCTCACAGTCGCAGTAGTCGTCGTTGACCTGCTCAAAGGGGATCACTCTGGAGCCATCGATGCACAGGAAGGACCTTCGCTCCCTGTAGAAACGCTTATCTGTCACACAACGAAAAGACAACATATATGAACACAGCTGCAGCTGGAAATTTGACCAGACAGAGGAGTAAGGAATATTTGTTGATGTCCTATTCTGCTTGTCCCCTTCCTGTCTTGTGTTCTTTTTGTGCATGCAAATGGTCTGCAGGGCTAAAATCCCTGTGTTAATTCCAGAGGGAGTTTCTCTTCCACACACTCCCTGTTCTTTCTGCCTGAAACTCCTCCATTGGACTCATTTGTTTCCTTCCTGAGCATAGTGACATCACTCTGGAACACTTACTAAATATACGCTCAACACTAATATGAATCTGAACGTGAACAGAATAGGGACCCTTTAAATAGTCCAGACAGAAGAGACATGTTCTCCAGTATAAAAACACAGATCAGTAATGATTGCTACCAATGTACAGCAATGGCAGGTTATTCAAGATGCAAAGGTTTTATTGTCATATTGAAGACATAAAGAAGGAAATGGAGCAATAAAACAGGGCCGATAAACTAACTAATAAATGACGCTCTCAGGTGACCCGGTAACAGGTGAGCTAGCAGCAACAAGACAGCCTCAGGTAACACTCTGGGTTAACTGTCAGGTAACACTCAGGTAACTCACAGGAGGACGAGATGCCTCTGAGTTTCCGGGTGGCTGCAGAGCCGCAGAGGCACGCGGCGGTGATGAAGAGGAGGAGGGAGCAGCTGAAGAGCAGCTTCATGTCCGGAGACTGACCCGTTCAATGCACATTCAAACACACCAGAGAGGACATGTATGCACTTCCTCAAACATGCGGTCATGTGACGCCTCTCAGCCTTCCTATTGGCTCTCATTCGAGCCGCATGTGACTCCTTCGACCAATCACAGGAGAGCATTACTTTTTCATATTTTTTTCGACCTTTTTCGAAATGTGAAGACAAACGATGTAATGACATGTGAGTGTTTAAATACTGAGAACGTTATTACACTGATCATGATGTATTTTATTAAGAAGTCATGTTAAAACGCTAACATTTGAATAGGTTCAAAAGGATTGTTAGATGTTATCGTCAGAAATAATGAAGAAAAGCAGAGCATGTTTGAAAGCTTTATTAAAAAATAAACAATATTTACAGTATAAAAGTATGGCTTTAGTTTGAGGCACTTTAATGTGAAATCAGTCGACATTAATCAAATGTTCAAAACGATCATTTGTCGGAGCTGAGTCTGCTGTAGAACCCCGGGCTGCACCGGGACTCTTTCTGCAGGGAGGATAGGTCTCTGATCATGCCCGGGAAGGAGTAGGAGTCCAGGGGGGGCCGCAGGGGGAACATCGGCATCAGTCCAGGGCTCATGTACGGGGACATGAAGCCGCCAGCGGAGGAGTAGGCTAGCCGGAAAGGGTTGACCCCGAGACGGGGGCTGAGCCCGAACATACCCTCTCCTCCTGCGGCCGGGGGGTAAATGTGCAGCGGGGAGAAGGCAGACCTGCTCCCCAGAGCTCCGGAGGGGAGCTTACCCTCCGAGTCCAGCTGGTTCTCCTTGGAGCTCAGCACCAGCTCTATGGACCGGACCAGGTCTCCTTTACAAGTCCGCACCATGGACTCCAGCGTGTCCCGTCGCTGCTGGGGGAAGATCTTGGCCATAATGTCAGTGGGGTCCCGCTCCAGACCCCGGAAGTCCCTGGGCTTCTCCGATTCGCTTCCTGACTCCGGGTCCGAGGAGGAGGGGGGGCTGTGCGGACTGTCTGCACGCTCTGAGCGCTGCTCACACAACGGGGAGGGGCTGCTGCTGTCTCCGGTCAGTGAGGTGCTGCTGTCTCTGTTTGGAGACACCTCGGTCCTTTCAGCTGGGGAGGGCAGCCTCGCGCTGTGAGGGGCGAACAGGGGCCGAGCCAGGAACCCGCTGTACAGGCTGAACCTGCTCAGTGCGTCATCTGAAAGGAGAGGAGCTGATTTAGAATCACATGTCCAACGATCTGTGCGTAAAAAGTATTTCAAAGTGAAACCATATGCAAGGTTCTCTGTGCGTAATAAGTAAAACCGAGTGCCCAAAGTTATCTGTGCTTAAAAGTATTTAAAATTGACATAATGTGTGCCACAATGATGTGTGCATCATTGAATTCCAAATCAAAGCAAGTGTCCAACGTTCTGTGCGTAAAAGTCCGAGTTAACGACATGTTGTTATATTTCAGGGTAACTTCAATGTAAAAGCTACTAATAATAAACCCAATATGGTAACACAATCTAACTGTGATTTACATTTATTTTCGAACATTGTCACGCTTTTCACTCACCATCTTTGAGGCTCTCCTCTCCAAACACACCGAACCTGTGCGCAGCGCTGCTGGAGACTGCTTGGGACGCAGGAGGACCTCCATTCTCCCCGGGGTACATGATCCGGAGCTCACGGGCCTCGCTCTCCTCCTGGGCCTGCTGCCTCCTCAGGGCCACCTGCGCAGCCATCACGCGCTGCCGCTCCGCTATCAGCGTGCACTTTGCGCACACGCAGTCTCTCCAGCGACAGAAACGCTTGTGGCCCTTCAGCGCAGACACCACGCCGTGGTTCCTGCACCTTGCGCACTTCGGGGTGCGGGGGTAGCCTCTCTCCAGAGCGGGGTTACAGGCCCGCAGGAAGAGATGAGGGGGCCGCAGAAGGGACGGAGGAACCTGCAGACCCCCGAGAGAGGAGGCACTATGCCCGGCCAGGCCGAGTGGGGTGATCCTGCTTTCCATTACGCACAGAGAGGTAAAGTCCAGTGATGCTCCTCTGAGGGACTGATGCTTGGCGGTCCTGCAGCAGCTCCTTATAGGTGGTGCTCCTCCATGAAACTCAACACCGACACTCCCCCTTCTGCAGCCTCTGAACACCAGCATGTTTATTTGTATCCGGATGAATGGTGCTCTAATCTGAGCATACACACAGCTGCAGATCAGAACAACACTTAAAGTGATATGTAAGGAAAAAACACTCAGACTTACATTCAAGTTTTTGATGCTTTAAGAGTTTTGTACGTTTAATGCAGTAACCTGTTGCTTAGGAAGAAGGAGGACTGAGCTCCTTCTCAGAAATCATAAATTAATTGCGTCTTCCCTGCTTTGCAATGAATTTATGATTACACACATCATGTTTTTTATGATGAACGTGTTTCTATAAATAAAGTTTGTATTCATAGCCTCAGGTCAGCTTCCTAGTTCCTACAATTCGCTCTCCTGCTGAGCCAATAATATCCTCTGGTAATGTGTTAACACAACAATGGCCCTGACAGCCAGAGAGCAACAGGTAATTACCTACCTGGTTATTCTGCTCTACAAATTAGCTCCACAAAGGACCCATCTGTCAACACACACTAATCACAGCTTGTCACATGTTTCATTCACTTCTGTGCATTCACACTGATCCAGTTACAGGCAGCAGATTGTCTTACTGTCATTACCCAGAACAACACCGGGAGCAGAAACACAGAGTAACCAGTTGGGGGGGGGGGGGGGGTATATATGTTGTTCAGAAAGACAGTAGTGTTTTATTACCTTCAGAAAGACTTCCCACCTCAATACATTACAACCATGTAAAGCATTGGTGTGTGAGATGCAGATATAAAGAGGTTTGTGCTGATAGACGTGCATATCATCCATCACAGGTTGATAAATAAATGTAGCGTTATCATCTCATCACTGTGCAGGGGAATTTGAGGTTGGCACATGAAGCTGCTCTCACCTGGTGAGCAGTGTGTTAGTAAGTCACAGTTTTATAGAGTTGGCCAACTGTCGCTATTGGCAGAGTTCATCTGTTTTCATAATTGTAAGTGTTTGTCAGTATGAAATGAGTAGGTTAGCTACGTTAGCTATCTTACAGCAGATCTGCAATAATATCTGAAAGAATCATGCGATCACATTGTTCAAATAAGCCGATAAAACGTGCATCTTAGGTACGTTTCCAACAACAGTGACAGGTCTTCATTTGCATGTGTTTTGGCACATTTGTGTTTTTATATTTGCATTGATTCTGAAACTGCAGTAGCCTACATTTCTTTTAATTTAAATGATTTGGGCCGTGGTACCGCGTTTGCACCTGTCGACCACTGTAGAATGGGCTCGTAAGAGCTGTTTTATTTGGATTACGAATACAAATGTGTTAAAGATTTACTCCTTGGATCAGTTTGCTTCGGTTTCATTTTGTCCAGTTCTAGACTTTGCACACTTCAGGCAGTGTTTTGCAGGGCTATCAGATAAAGGTGCAGTTGTAGTAGACAGTGCGTTAATTGTTCTTTAAATCACTACATCAGAGGACAGGGCTTTATCTGGAGAAGGTGGCGGCTAATCTGCACCTCATCTCACCAAACCTGACTAACTCTGCCCGACAGAATCAGTAAATCAGGCTTCTCCTATCTGTAACTGTCACACTGTGTAT